TATATAATATATTTAATAATATTATTTATTTAATATATTTAATAATATTATTTATTTAATATATTATTATTTAATATATTATTACATGTTTTCAAAAATAACCACCAAACGCAGTTTCAGTTTTTTTTAAAACTGAAATCAATCTCTAAATAAAACTACCAAACGTATTTTTAGAAATAATTCAAAAATGAAACTAAAAACGTTTTTATTTTCATTTTCGTACAGAAAATAAAAACGTTTTGGAATCAATTCCAAATGCACCCTATGGATCTCTATTGCGCAGTAGAGCATCTCTATTGTGCAATAGACTTGATCTTTACTTGCATTTTCTTAATTAAAAATTTTGATTAAATGTAATTTTTTTTATTAATATTGCTATTTAAGGTGTCTAGTTGATCATTTAAACTAAATATATGAAATTACCTGAAATAATCAACTTAATACACTCTTGCTTAAATATAACGGATTTGACTGTGCAGTAAACGTAGTCTACTGTTCGGTAGACTTGAACAGTAAAGCTCTTTACTACTCGGTTGATTATCTCGACTGGTCAGTAAAGTGGATTTTCACTTTGCTTTTTTTATTTAAATATCTTGATTAAATTTAATTTTTTTTTGGATAATATTGTTAATTAATTAGTCACATTAATTATATTTAATTAATCTTGGTTACATTTTGCCTTTAACAAAAAAGGCAATACATTTCAGCTTCAGTTTTTTTTTTTTTTTTTTGCATTATTGTCTTTATTTCTTTTATTTTTTTTCTAACAATTTGTATAGCTATTATTTTAAATGAATCAGGGCGCGTTTTTTTCCTAATATTATACCAAAATTAAAGTGGCCCCAATGGGGGGAGCTAGAGAAGTTATTTTGCCTAAAAAAATATAAATTTTTAATATAAAACGGAATTGAACCCCCAATCCCTACCCAAACTCCAGTGCAACCGGACCAAAAAAGAAAAAGGTTTCATACACGGGCAGTAGCCACATGGCAAATTTCTTCCAAAGAGTAGCACTAATTTAAAAAAAGAATAAAAAAATCCACATCAAGTCCCAAAAGGATATAAGATTTAAGTATACATCACTCCAAAAGCCCAAACAGGTTAATTGATTAATCATACAGAAGGACGATCATCATCTCAAACCAATATTGAAAATTATTACAAAGCAAGAAGAAGAATGTGAAAAAGTGGTCTTTCTCTCATCTCTTTCTTTCAAATATCTCACACACACACAGGCTGTTAAAAGAAAAACCAACTAATAATGCAAAGTATGATTTTGGGTCACATGGAATACAGCACCCAAAAAAGAAAAAAAAAGAAAAAAAGCAAACCGCTGACAAACCCCACACACGTGCCATTGCCTCCTCCATTTACATTTGCACATGCTCTTTGTCCCACCACCTTCCTAGTCCCTAGCCCAGCACTCTCTGCACACTACCACACTATATCAAACCCCCCGTTTTCTTTTTCTCTTTTTTTTTTTTTTTTTTTTTCTTTTTTACTTCACTACATTTCTTCTCTCTAGTTATACAACAATTGATTAGCACTCTCTCTATGATCTATTAATTCAAAGTAAATCAAACTCACAAACTCACTGCTGCATGAAACCAAAAACCTCACAGCATTCATCATCACTACATAATATATAGTATACACAACCAAATTATATGATATAGTTAGCCAACTATATTATATGCACTTGAGCATATATACTTTTTTTTTCCCCCCTTCATTTTGTATCTGGTTATCTTCTCCTTTTGTCTCTCTCTTGATTAGTGTCACTTAGGATATATCATGATGTCCTATTGAGTCGGTGGAACGGCGGCTGTGGTGGCGGTTACGGTGTCTGGAGGGGCAGGGACAGTCGGGCGGCGGGAGGCCAGTAGGGTGCATTGGAGGTGCCTGTGGCAAGTGATCAAGTGGTCGTTGGTGAGGCCGGCGGCTTGCATGAATGAGTGAACAACGGTGGGGCCCACAAACCTAAACCCCCTCCTGACCAAGTCTTTGCTAATGGTCTCCGACTTTGATGTCTTAACTGGGATTCTTTGCCCTGACTTGTATTGGGTGGAGATGGGCTTCTGATTCACAAATCCCCACACGTATTTCTCTAATGACCCCAACTCCTTTTTTATCTGTCACACGCACATATATAATTGAATTAGATATTTCCCATAGCAATGGCACATATAAAAGTTCACTTATGTAAAAATTGCCAACACCAATGACATACATACATACATATATATAGTTCGAATACATATATACCAGGTGTGTTTCTTAATGGTAGATATGATCAAAACTGTATCCAAATAAGAAAACATAAAAACAAATAGATCCATAAAAATGATAAAAATATATATACATGACGGGTGAATATACATAAAGAAGTAAAGTGTTTTTTTTTTTTTTTTATGCAATATCGCATTTTTTGTATTGTTTATTTATATGTATATGTAGGCCAGGACGTACAGTATTATTCTACTTTTCTCCATCATCATTCATTAGTGGTAAACAGCCAAAGGTGGAGCCAGAGGTTTTAAAATCAGAACAGGTTGGAAGTCACATGCAAACAAACTTTCCAACATGCTATAAGATCATCAGAGAAAGAATAGAATAATTCTGATTAATTAGCGTGTTTAATATTATTTATTATTATATTTCTTTCTCAAACTACAAAAAGTTAATGAAAAGTGAAGATTATTATATACTCGAATAGACAGGAAAGATTGAGAGAGAAATTTTTAAGAAAAAAATAGTAGAAAAGAAAAGAAAAACAAAACCTCCTTGTTGTTTTTTTTAATTATAAAAATCTGATTGATGTGTGTGTGTGTATATATATGTATATATATCTATATATGTATATTACCTCGAGAATTCGGTTAGAGTTGTCGACGACTCCACGGACACGGCTGATATCAAAGCCAAATTCGGAGCTAATTGAAATCATTTGCTTGTCAGTGAAGGAGGCAACAATTTGTGCATCAAATTCAGAGAAAGCTTTTCTGAATTCTTGACGTTTCTTTAAGATTGAAGTCCAATCTGACCCAACTTGAGCTCCACTTAGAACCAGCAGTTCAAACAACATCCTGTCGAGAATACCGAACAAATACATATATATTAATTACGACAAGCTCATGATTAAGTAAAGTATATTTTTACTTTAATTTAGAGAGAGAAAGAGAGAGAGAGAGAGAGAATTTTAGCCAAAGAAATAATAATAATAATAATAATAATAAAAGGTAAAGAATATATATAAAGGCTTACTTGTCATCATGGACAGGTACTCCCCATTCCTCGTCATGATAAGCAACATATATTGGATCTAAAGCATTAAACAGAAATAAAAAAGATGAGCAAATTAAAAAGAAATCAGCATTCACCTTTCATTTTCATGCTCATAGCACTATTAAAAATAATTAAACCTTAAATATAGCAATAGTAGTGACTAATTGTAAAACCCGTCATTATTTTATTGTTTTAAATGTATGGCATAATTGTGACACAATTTAATTTAAAGTTGAAAAAAAACGTAGTACTAAAGAAAAATAAAATTAATATATAATTACCTGAATTGGCAGTGATGAAACTGCATCTTTTCTCTTCCTCAGCCGTCTTGTTGGCCATCAAATCAAGAGAAGAATTATTATCAATGGGAACGACTCTTTCGAATTTTGCAGACTTGGATCTTCCATAATGGGCAATCCTCATCTTCCTCTGTGCTTGTTGGAGGGCCATCTGCTCCCTCCTCACGGCGGCTATACTTCCCGGCGACTCGGTTATCAAAGAAGATGAATAACTCAATGAAGCCTCAATAGAACAAGAAGAAGAAGTAACACCATTCTTAGCCACATCGTGAGTACCATTAGAAGTAGTATTAGTACTAATAACTCCCTTAAAGCTTTTTGACTTTTTCCTCTCCAAAAGCTTAGCGGTTCTCGCGGTGGTTCCCGGGGTAACCACCTTCTCCGAGCTCGAGTTCAGCCCGTTACCTGCGCTATCGTTCCCCCGCTTTATAGCCGGAAGCCTCGGAGACTTCGACTTGGGAGAAATCGGCGGCGTCAATGATGTCATGTTAGAAGTTCTGGAATTGGCCGTGATTCTAGGACTAGTAAGTGAAGAAGAAGAAGAAGAAAAAGAAGAAGAATAAGAAGAAGTTGGTGGTGGGGGCGGCAAAGTGAGGGATGGGGTGCTAATCTTCTTGACCGAATTTCGCCTTTCGAGCGTAGGAACCCTATTGCAGTTGGGCTGAAGAACCGGCCTGCCATTGATTTTAGCCACACTAGTTGGTGCCATGGGGACTACGCCAATGGTCACTTTGGCCTCCGAGGTGCACATTCTTTGTTTTTTTTTTTGTTTTTGGGGTGTTTGATATATATGTAATGATATGGATGTGAGTTTTTCTTCTATGTATTTGGGAAAGATAAGTGATAAAGGACGTGGTTTGGGAAGAAAAATTGAGATGGGTGTGTTTGGGAAGAGGGAAAAATGAAGGGAAAATATTGGGAGTTAAGGAGGGAAATGGAGAGAGTTGGGAAGGTGGATTTTATAAAGGTGGAAGGAGAAATAGGAAAGTGGGGACGAAGGAAAGAAAGGGAAAGGTGGGGAGAAGTTGAGAAGAGCATGTGGGGAGGTTGGGGTCTGCCATACAAGTCTTGTGAATGGAACCAAGGGTGGACAATCACACACGCCTTCTTACTTGGCCATTTGCCCTTGTTTCCCTAGCTTGCCACTTTATAATTCAATCAATTAATTAATTAATTAATTAATTAATTAATTAAATAAATTGTGCTACTCTATTATTTATTAATTAGTTATTATATATAATTCAATTGGCAGGAGAGAATCAAGGAGGGGATTAAAAGGAGGGATTCGCTAGCTAGGCATGTACTCACCGGAAGAGCAGTCATAAAATATATGAAATACGTCTATCAATATGTATTGTCACATATTGTGTACTTAATACCCAATTGGCTACTTTTAGCATTTTTTTTCTAATTCATGAAGTGGATACAATAGTTAGTAACGCGTTAAAAAAAAAAACAAAAGTTACTAAGATATAACCGAGACAAAATTCTATATTATTTTACTGATTAAGTTAATAAATGTCAATGATCAGTATTGAGACAAAGGAGGAAAAATGAGACATGCATATACAGGATGGGAACCATGCTATAGTACGCTGAAAAGCAACCAATATGCAGTGTTTTCGGTTATGAACAGGGAACTTCCCCCATTTCCAATTTATGGGTTGATTCTCTTTGATATTCGAGAACATAAAGCTGGAGTGGTGGATAAGGAAGGTAACAAAAAGGCTGCAATGCAGATAAAAAGAACACATTATTAAATATCTTCTTTTTTGCTGGAGGGAATCTCTCTCTTGTTTTGCTAAGAACAAGTAAATGCATATTATATATATATATATATATGAAGATTTTTTTATACGATTGAGATATTGTCAAATTTTTTTAATCGTTAAATTTATATATTTTTTAATTTTTAAATAATTTTATATAAATTTAATGGATAAAAAACTTAATCTATTGTTATATTAGTGTACCAAAAAAGATCTCATATATATACATACATATATATAATAGTATACACACACTTACAATCACAAAAATAGAACCTTTTGTTTGGGAAGCACTAAACTACGTATTATAAGAACTTAAGTATTCATTTGATGTTAAAGTCGGTTAGGATCTAGCTAGTTGTTATAACTAATTAATCATCATCAAACAAAACATCATATTACAAGACCGTGTTAAGCTTTTCCGAGATTCACCGAACTATTAATATGTTATTAATTAGCTTATTCTCAGACACTTTCCAGATAAATTAAGCTGCATTTGTTATTCCTAATTATTCTATATAGGTAGCCATACATCGGCAAATAGGTCATTAAACTGTTAAAGTTTAGTCTTCTGATTTTTTTTTTCCATTAAAATTTTGATATCAATAAGAAACAGTACAAGTGGGAATATCAATACCAATCATGAGAGGTATCTTTTCAGTGTTCAGAATGGTGGGAATAAGCAAAACAGTAGTAATACTATACTCTTAGAAAGGGATGTTATTCAGACGTCACAAGCTACAATGGGGTCAAAGTCTTCATTTATTTGGAGGCGTCCCAAAGATCGATCTAAAGGGTATAGATGAAGAAAGGAATAATGATTATAAGTAACGTTGGCTTCATTTTTGGTGGGCTAATGTAAAAGGGACGAGTTTTTAATATTTACGATTTTTTGTGGTGACTATCTATCAATATAAAAATTTAATAATGTAATATGATTATAATTCAATTTCATAATTATTATAAGTATTTTTGATCAAATGCTCATTTTATTACAATCGTCGTATCAATATATATTTTTATTTGTTTTTAACGAAAATTAATTTAACAGATCCAGAGAGTTGAACGAGACTAATTCAAAGTTCAATTACACTAGGAAAGAAGTTACGTAAATGTTTGCTTGAATAGTACTCAAAAATATCATTTGGTACTTGGACTACTTTTGAAGTAAATTATATATTTATACAAACATAGAACGTTGTGCGTATGTATACATACACACATACATATATATATATATATATATATATATATATATCTTAAGCTGATGAGCTATTTTAACTTACAAGGTGACTGCATAGCCCATGAGACAAAAGGAAAAACATTGCTTCCAAGCGAGTCTGCCTTAAATTGATGAATTAGCCGTATTCATCAATTAATAGCCGTATGAACAGGCCTTTGTACGTACTCAAATCTGAACAAGCGATCAGTCTACCTCTAATTAATTTTACCTTTACATAAATATGCTACCTTGTTCTTCATAAAGTTCCGCTGGTAGTCTTATGCGTTATTATACATAAAATATTAATGCATCAAAGTAGGAAAGTGAAGGAAAAATTTTGATGTGGTTAAAATTTATAATGACAAATTACATATACAATTTAAGATAGTATATTATGCATCAAAGTACAAAATAAAATAGCATACAAAGTACATCGATGTCATTTTCGTACTTGTTTTTATCAAATAAATATAGGAATTAAGATAGAGAGAGTCTTATATTATATATTATGCCCAAAGTACATGAACTCCAATATATATACATTGTAAATTATAGTTATTGAATTTGCCTAGACATTTGAGTACACAATTCATGTTGACATTAATTTATGAGATGTCTCCGAAGAGGCATTAATAATTAAATGTACTGTGTTGCAAATCATTGAAAGAAATAACCATATAAAAAGTGTGTCTTGTAGATAAACATCTTAGTCACCACATAAAATCGATCTTATCCAACTATAACGTTTTCTGATCAAGTGAACCCACCATTGGCATTGTATTATAAATTCTAGTGCAAGTTTTGGGGGGTACATGATGAGAACATTATCACATGCAAAAAGTAACACTAAATGGGGTACGCTGTACAACTACGTAGCCCACAAAAAAAAGAGAAAAAAAAAAAAAACCAACTTACTGTTGGGAATAGTATCCTAAAAGTATGAGATGTAAAAGGATATTTATTATTTATTTAATAAAAGAGTTTATTCATCATTTTATGTGCATATATTTATGAATATTTTATGAATATCAAATAAAATTCCTTGATTATTTATGTAACCTTAAACATGGTATATAAGTGTTGTATACGAGAGGATAATGTTTAAGGATAATAATCAAAAGTAATTGTTCATAATGAATTTAATTAAAGTTCGGAATCTTTAATTAAAACATTATTAATACATGTCATTCCCATTTAGAATGGAACGGTGTTATCCGCACTGTTAATATGACGAGATATTGAATGAGTGTATTTCGCATAATGAGATTATGTGGAACATGGACGCAGACACAATATGAATTTCTAATAATTTCCGTTAAGCATAGAAATTCTAATTGAGTCTACCGATGGTCATATATAGGATGATCTTAATCCTGAGTTCTTAACAAACTCCTATTTATGGATTTATGTCTTTTGATTTACTCGGTACGGATTCCGAGACCCTGAATCCTATTCCTTGTATTTTGGAGACATAATGAAATAGGTAGCTGGGAATGTTATTATACGAGATGGAATCCATTCCTTCTTGAGAAAGAAGCAGATAAATAATTCTCT